ATGAATATATCTTTTTATACAATAATATAATGAATTAAATATTATTATTTTATGTATAAGTTATATAAAAATAAAATGTTTTGCTATCAGATAATAGTTATATTTAATAATGCATTTGGTTTTCTATGAATCATTATTTTATTAATAATCAAAAATCATTAATTTTTCTCAAAGAAGTTATATTATAATTCAAATTAATAAATGGAAGAAAATAGTAAATAGTGTTAATATTATTATATTAATATTACAAATATTAAATAAGTTAAAAGGTTATATTAATTTTTACAAAAAATATTCAAATATGATATAATAATTACTTATCCATAATTGTAACTTTAATATATTAATAAATTGCAAAGTTATTAAAATAATTTTTTATTTTAATCTTTGAAATAATAATCTGTGATATTAATAAAATTTGTCATATAATTTAGTTTTAAATCTGCTAAAATATTAAAATCTAATTTATATTATCTGTTTGTGCAAAACTTTAATTTTAAAGGTAAAATATATTTATTAATATTTTGTAAATAATGTTATTAGTAATTTAATAATGGTGAATGATAACAGAATGATATAAAGTACTAACAAATAAATATTTTATTCTAAATGTTGATTAAAATTTTATAATTTATTATAAGTACACTACATATAAATAGGTGCCATATTTTTGACAATTTGTAAGAAATGTTTATACGTTAACAGAATTATTATTATAAGAGTAGCGATGCTTTGAATTATAATAAGAATTTCTGATTCAATTGTTTATATACTGATAGATTCTGAAGCAAAGCGTATACTGTTTTAGTGCTAAACATTGAGTTACACAAAGATTGCGCGCATATTCACAGATTTAGATCGATATAAAAATGTGGTTTTCGCTGAATCTATGTCTGAGTTGACACAAACTCTTACACTTGATTTTCATCTTCAATAAGGAATTTAAAATTTGTTATTTCGATGAAAACAAAACCATCGATAATATAAATATTGTGTTGTTTTGCTGTTATTGTGTGTATTATTGACAATAAATACGACAATTGATGGAAGAAAGGCGTGAATCGCGAAAGTGTTCGTTCAGAATAGCGGGCCCTCCGAAGGAGAGTTTGACAGAACTCTGCAAATGTACTCAATTCACAAAAAGGGAAATTCAAGTTATGTACAGAACGTTCAAACAGGTATTTATTAATTATTTATAATTACACTATAAATGCTTTAAAATTCACTCTAATCTACAATTAATCCAACGATTTAACAAGAATTTAATTAAATTAGGAATTTTCCATTAAATATTTAAGTTAATGTTTAGTTTAAGCGTAAACTGTACCTAAATTTAAATATTTATTTATCATTTTGAGCTTTAATATAAACTTGTGTTAAATAAACAATTAACACAAATGTTCTGAAATAATTATAATTATAAGTCATATTTATAATCACGTGTTTAGCTTTAATATTAATAGGCATTCATTTTCATATTTTCATAAAATGCTTTAATTAATCATTTTGCTCTCAAAATCATAAGATACTAATCAAATATTAATGAAAAAAGCATTAATCATCTAATTGTAAATTTGTGTTTTATGTTAGATTTATAATCTATACTTAAATACATCTTAATATGTATATAATTAATTATAAATTAAAAATTTAAACAATATTAATTATACTGCATCTGTGACAATTTAATAAATATTTTGTTTAATATTGTTATCCATTGTCATCCAGATAATACAATATATATAATATGAATCATACAAACTTTAAAATCCTTAAATTGTTTAAATGCGAACGTTCTTCAAAGTTCTACCCCTCCCCTCCCCTCCCCTCCCCTCGTTCGAAAAAGTTCTCTTTGTCCGACACCCCTTCCAAAAACATTTTATTTTTATATAACTTATACATAAAATAATAATATTTAATTCATTATATTATTGTATAAAAAGATATATTCATATAATATAATGTACATTACATATAAGAAAATCAAAACAAAGGTTTTGTTTTGTTATTTGTTTATTGGTTGCTATGAATTACAACTATACCTGTAATTCGTAAGCACTCTGTCATTGAACAGAATATATTTTAGTTTAGTTTTAGTACAAACTCTTTATTCTTCAAATTAAATGGATTTAATACGGGATTCAAATTATGTGCAAAATGATTATATTGGAAGCACTTCTTCTACTGTACACCTGACCTGTCCCTCATGTCGTATAACTATCACCCAAACCAGATCCCGGTCTATGTGTCCATTTTGTGGCAATTTCTACGACCCAAACGTGGAATTGGATATCGCCTTACGATCCGATTCAAGAATTAGAAGCGATTCCCACCAAGAGTTACTTCGTTTACCACCGATTGTATGATATTAATCATTAAATATATTTTTAACTAATAATAAAAATTTTGTATTAAAGTTTTAATTTTAGTTATTTTAGTTTTAACAATATAAAATGGTTAAAATTTATTAAATAATTGTTACATTATATTATGTTTTTATAAGGATTCTGGGCGACAATTATTACGAGTAACCGGTTTTGGACCTCTCATTACTGATGGTTTGGGTGAGTATAACAAGAAATGCGAATTTAAGTANGTTAAAATTTATTAAATAATTGTTACATTATATTATGTTTTTATAAGGATTCTGGGCGACAATTATTACGAGTAACCGGTTTTGGACCTCTCATTACTGATGGTTTGGGTGAGTATAACAAGAAATGCGAATTTAAGTAAGAAATACAAACAATACAATTGTTGAATCCAGGAGTGATCCACACTTATATAACTGGATTACTATTCCGTCCGCACACAGACGAAGACACACCCAATCTATATCTAACATTACCCCCAATAAACACGTCCCGATCTAATCTTGCACTGAGAGAGACGTCTGGCTTTGCAGTTGAAAATAATTTCGGTCATAGTTTTGGGATCGCAAACACAGCAAAATCGTCACATTTAATACATACAACTTTGGAAAACTCACAATTTTCCTATAATAATAAATTTATTTCCAATTCATTTAATTATCCCAAACGTGATAAAACTTTGGACGAATTTAAGTAAATTTAATTTTTCAATTTCAATTTTGGTTTTTTACTAATTATATTATTTACAATTTTAGGGCTTTACTGAACAAATCAACTGAAAGTGCAGATTATACAGAATTACACGACTTTTATGAACAAACATTTAGTTCATATGACCTTTAGTTACGTGATAAATTCGTTTTAGGGCTGGTTCTTTTACGGTTTAAGTTACTGGGCCTTGAATTTTCACTTAAGAATATACGTCAAATACTACTTGAACTATTCGATCAATCACAAATATACAATATAAACTTATAACAAACTACATGTCAATTTCTAATACAATTTAGCCCTCATTTATCGGTAAAACTGTATTGAAAGGAGTGATTGCTTCTCTCACATCCATTGATCAGTAAGTTTTATTGATCCGTAGATTTGTTTTTACTGCCAAATAATACTGTAATAACAAAATCTACTGTTTTTATAGATTAAAAGCAAAGGATGAAATTCGTGCGATATTTATACTTTTGCAGGTAAAACAAAATGCAATAAAAACAATCAAATCAACCAAACAAATAACATAACTTTTAAAACTTTTATAAAGAATCCGATATTTAGTAATCAGTCGTCGTATAGTGTTTTCGCACATTTGATGAAACGTATTATAAGCCTTAATAGCGGAGACCATCAGCTATTGATTCATTGGTTTTCAAAGTAAAAGTCATTATTGAGTTATGGAAATCAATGCACTATTTAAGCAAAATCCCGACCAAGAAAATGCCAAATTCAATGACCCGGAACTTAAAAGTGAATTCTTATATGCAGTTTATGATGAACTTGATAAGCTAGTTAGTGTTTATATAAATATAAACTTATAACAAACTACATGTCAATTTCTAATACAATTTAGCCCTCATTTATCGGCAAAACTGTATTGAAAGGAGTGATTGCTTCTCTCACATCCATTGATCAGTAAGTTTTATTGATCCGTAGATTTGTTTTTACTGCCAAATAGTACTGTAATAACAAAATCTACTGTTTTTATAGATTAAAAGCAAAGGATGAAATTCGTGCGATATTTATACTTTTGCAGGTAAAACAAAATGCAATAAAAACAATCTAAACAAACAAATAACATAACTTTTAAAACTTTTATAAAGAATCCAATATTTAGTAATCAGTCGTCGTATAGTGTTTTCGCACATTTGATGAAACGTATTATAAGCCTTAATAGCGGAGACCATCAGCTATTGATTCATTGGTTTTCAAAGTAAAAGAAAACATTATTGAGTTGTATTGATTTGAATTCAATTTAATTTAATTGAAAAACAGTTTAGAGGCAGAAAGGCTGCGATTGCTTGTAAAACGATTGTTACAATTCATAACAATCCGTGAATTTCCTCCCAATAATCGCCACAAATTGCCGTCAATTAGCAAAAGTAGATTTTGGATTCCGTGCGCCACTCGTGTTCTCGCACTTATCAGTATGTCTTATGATTGAGATTTATGTTATGCTAATCTCATTAACACTTTCATCGTGTTTAGACGCCGCTAACAATAAAGTGATCCCAAATGTGATTAATTATATTGAATTTTATAACTATGCTTTGGATCACATCAACCTTATGTCTGAGTACTATCGATGGCAAAACCCATCCAAAACCAATCGGTTAACTAAATTGAACTAAATTATAGATTATTGTAATTAACTTATGTTTTAATACCAAATCATAGATTCTCTTACTGTCAGTATCCTTTCATCTTAAGTATTGTCGCAAAGAAAACAAGTGAGACATTCATGTTATTAGATATAATTTAAATTTAATAAAATTGCTTTAAATTTCTTTATAACAAAAGTTTTACAAAGAGATTCAGAGCAGCAAATGATATTGAATGCAAGGGTTAGTATTTATGGTTTATCGTTAAATTAAAAAATGTAAAATAACTGATAATTTATATAAGAAAAGCAATGAATTATTTAGTCATCTATTTAAATTATGATTTCAAAGGACTAAATTGTTTGTATCAATTTTATAGCAAAGTTTATTAAATCGCGCCATTCATCAGCAAATGGCAGATATTGATGTATTCTTCTTGAATCTAAACATCCATCGATCAAATTTAGTTTCCGATTCCCTAAACGAAGTAACACTCCATTCATTTTTATTTCAATTTTCAAAACACAATTAAGATAAATGTTTATAATTATGTGTTGAATGAATAGATCGCTAAAAAACAAAATGATTTGAAGAAGAAACTTAAAGTGACATTTATTGGTAAGTATAACAAAGCGAATCTAAACTTGTTTTATAGAATTTAAAAATACAACTATATTTTTACGACTATGTAAGTATATAAATTTAAAAATGCATTAATAATACCCTAGGTGAACCTGGCCTCGATATGGGTGGTCTGACCAAAGAATGGTTCTTATTATTAATCAAGCAAATATTCCATGAAGATTATGGTATGAATCAATTAGAGTAAACCGTATTACTGTAAATGTTGTAAATGTGTTATTAGGGATGTTTGTATACCACAGCAAATCTCGGTGTTATTGGTTTAGTACGGCACAAATGGGCAATCTTAGGGAATATAACCTAATAGGAGTTGTATGTTTCAAATTAATCTATTATTTGCCAATAAATCACATTTATATTCCTTACAGCTAATGGGTCTCGCAGTCTATAACTCAATGTAAGTCATATACCTATAAGTCAATAATTTCTTAATTTTATCATGATTCTCAGGCATAATATTTCTTAAATTCATCGTATTTATTAAACTTTACATCACTAATTATTAATTAGTAATTAATTAAAATTAATTTATATTAACAATTGTTTTGCTATATTTAATTGAATGGATAGAATACTCGATCTTCACTTTCCGACCCTTTGCTTCAAAAAGTTGTTGAGTCCACCCGTTGTGCCACAAGATGTGGATCGAAATCCGGTCGGAATGTGTAACATAACAATGGATGACTTCACTCAAGTTATGCCCGTATGCTATATCTCCTCATACCTTAAACCAATAAAATTATCAAAATTATAATTTTAATGTCGAAAGGATGTAGCCGTCGGTCTCAAAGAGTTACTCTCATATGAAGGCAATGTTGAAGAAGATTTTTGTATGAATTTTCAGGTAAATTACTATTTAAACTTATTATTAATAATTATAATTTAATAATATTGTTGTTATTATTGTATAAATTAAAGGTTTCTGTTGAAGAGTTTGGTGAAGTAAAGACTCACGTCCTTAAGCCTAATGGACACGACATTGTTGTTAATAATGAAAACAGATTTGGTATTCAAAATTTTAAGTTATTCTAACCAAAGATACTAATGACTGATATAATTGTTTTTGTAAAATGCAGAATATGTTGAGCTATATATGGATCTAATTCTCAATAAAGCTATATTCCAACCTTTCAAAGCATTTTATTTGGGATTTCATAGCGTTTGTGCCTCTAATGCTCTAATTGTAATTAATGACTACTCTTAATGACATCATAATATGATGATTATCTAAATCATTTATAAACACTGAGACAGATGTTACGACCGGAAGAGGTGGAAGTGCTTGTCTGCGGCTGTCCTACCATTGATATGGAAGAACTAAGAAAAGCGACCATTTATGATGGCTTTCATGAAAATGATCTCATTATAAGGTCTGTCAAACTCTTGTTCATTATTTGATTAACTGAAGTACAGGTGTATATATAAATTAATATGAAAAATGACAGACAATTGTGGGATATAATAAAGTCGTTGAGTTGGGAAATGCAGAAGGATTTCTTGAGATTCGTGACGGGAAGCGATAGAGTGCCCATCAATGGCATGATTGACATGAACTTTAAAATAACTGCACTTAACGGCAACACCGATATGTATTAACAAATACTACACTTTACTAAATAATAGTTATAACCAATATGTTTGTACCTAAAGGCTGCCGACATCGCACACGTGTTTCAATCAACTCGTGTTACCCCGATATCCATCTCAAGAGGTGCTCAAACAGAAGCTTATTATTGCCATCTCTAATGCCGAGGGCTTTGGACTCGAATAGTGTATACCTGAGTTTGGCATTCAATTTGTTACTTATAGAAAATGGTTACAAATTAATATTTATTTATTAGAGTATATGTTAAATGTTAAACACATATGAATATCAAATATAAGAAATAAATAATAAATTTATATATGAAATAAAAATATTGAGAATTGTTTGAAAAATATGAGAATTGAAGACAAGAATAATTCTTCAATTCATTAGTTTGAATGAGAATTGGTATGAATGGCTTCGCGCATGCGTTCAGTGCTAACACATGACACAAATAGCACTAATCATATGGATTTGGTTTTGGGTTTGCTTTTGAATTTGAAAACTCGTGAACCGCTCTTCACTCAAGACATGCAGTCATCCCAAGACACCGATCATCACATCCAACACATCCACACCACTCATGATAGCAATAACAAGGATGACGAGCACACCGACAATGACAACGTTGACACCATTCCCACAACTGATCCCGTGTTCAGCAAAATATCCAAAATCAATGGCTTTATAAACGACATGAATGCGGATCAGTTGAGACAACGTCTTCAGCTCTTGGATCTAGAAGTGAGGTCTGAATTGCCATTCATTGCTCATTTCACTCACTTCTTTGGCAACACTTTAATTGATTTAATCCATGAATTAGTGGTTCAATGGAATCGTGTCGAAGACGACTGAAGAGTCACTACAAGAGCGAAGCCATGACTAAAGTGTTAAAGAAGACAAAAACCTATTATTACGATATCGTATGTGTTGTGGACTTCGAGGCCACGTGTGATAAACAACCAAACGATCAATTGATTCAAGAGATCATTGAATTTCCAGCCGTTTTGGTTGACATCAAACGCAAACAAATAGTAACTCAAAAATCACTTTTCCATTCATTGAATAATTACCGGTAATTAAAATTTCAAACTAATTGAAAGGTTTCGACATTTCATGAGTTCGTGAGACCGAAATCGACTGAAAAATTATCGCAATTTTGTACGGATTTGACTGGAATTTGTCAATCAGTTGTCGATAAGTCGGACCCTTTTTCGCAAGTTTTGGACAAATTTGAAAAATGGTTGCACTCTTTCGTCGCCGAGAATGACATTAAATCCTATGCATTGGCGACCGACGGGTCAGTCATTGATTGCATGGTTTTATTTAATTGATATTTAATTTTTAAACATGATATAAATACAGGGCGTGGGATATGAGCCACTTCTTTGCCCAATCCGTAAGTTGTGTTTAAAGTGATTAATTAGTTATGTTATCTAATAATAATTGATATGAAGTGTAAACTCCATGGCATTCCATACCCACGTTATGCCAAGCGATGGATTAATGTCAGGAAATTGTTTTCCATTCAATACAAAGTGCAAAAAGTGAGACAATTGTTGCATTGAATTTAATTAGACTTAAACGCGAGTGTAATTGCAGTTATCGTTGGATCAAATGCTGACACATCTTGGGATGGAATTTAATGGGAGGCAGCATTCGGGTCGTGACGACGCCCTCAATATAGCGAATCTCTTGATACGTATGACCATCGATGGCGCCAACCCTACTATCAATCAGAGGATCAGTTGGCATAAGTAAATGAACCTTCAAATTGATGGCAGATTTTAATTATGATAATTATCGGTGTTTTATTAGTTCTAAACGCAAACGTTGGGAAAAAATGAGATGTGGTTTTGTTCGTGTCTTCGATAATAAGCCTTCCGATGGCCACAATGTTTCCGATTCTGAAGAATCTAACTCTGAATCTAACTCTGAAGTTATTGATGAAAAGTTAGCCGAAGAACAAGTCGTTAAGAATTAGCACAAAATTTTATTGAATTGATTAAATTGTTTTGTTTCTCATTTTCATGTTTGCATTTTTCAATATTTTTATCGCTTTGATATCAATTCTGTCCGATTCCTAAACAAACGAATTTATGCTTTAATTAAATTATTATCAATTATTTTATAATCAATAATAAAAGGATACTTTACTGTTGTTTTCCACATTTTAATGAAAACCCGTTTCTTTCGTAACTGACTGTACTTTTTCTGCATAATAAGCCTCTGTTGCGGTGAAACCCCTCTCTCCACCACTAATATAATACGAGCCCACTATTGATGGACAAAATTAATTACGGTTTAAATGCCATCGATTGTGGCGACCGCTAACCTGACGCAGCCATTCATTAGGTCTGGAAGCGATGTCTTGATATGTTTTTCCCTGTTTTCAAATGAAAATCATTGATAAAATAATGTTTGGGATTAATTGTGAAACATTGTTACCATCATTGCAATCAACATATTTACTAATAATATTGACACCAAAATCATATACAGAGTAAACATGATCTTCATTGGAATAAAAATTCATTAAATATTCATTTAAAACACATTCTAATCATGTTTATAAACCTTTGCTATGATTGGATGATCTGTATTATCAAATTCTCTGTAAATATCAACGAATTCATTCAAAGACATCAAAAACATAGACATAATACTGTCCACAACTCCACCGAAATAATTTTTTCCGACACCAGAATGGGATCGAAATATTACAAAAAATGCTAAGAATTTCATTACAAATAGAATATAATTATTTAATTTATCAAAATTTCATTCAATGAATACCTTCTGCAAAACCGATGACAAAAATCATATAAATTATAACAAAACACAAGAGATCCGAAACAATCATTTTATAAATCATTACAACGAATGGTCCGACAGTTTTAAATCCTCTAAACAAATGATGAAAAGTGTTAATTATTTTAATTGCATTGTTATATCTAAAAAATAAATTCAACAAATATATTTGCAATATGTTTGTGTGTAATTTCATAAAAAGCATTATTTAGTGATTATATGTTAATTATATGATAATTACCGACAAAAGAATAAAAGATTCATTGGAGTCAAAAACATAGCCAATGCAACGATTCTGTCCTCGTATTGGGATAAACAAAGTAATCGCAAAGGAATTGATATTATAATCAAAATGCATGACAACAAAAACATGATTCTTCCCGGAACTTTGGTCTAAATACAAATATTAATAAACTATTATTCAAATCATTACATTGATTGCTAACATAAATGACCAACAAATTATGTGTAATCAGTTGATTATATTATAGAATATGGTATATTATATTATATAACTCATAAAATATTTTATTGAATGTTGAGTTGCAGAAAAATATTTTAAGAAAATTTGATCATTTATGAGAAGTCTATTGCTTTAAATTAATATTTAAAAACTAATACCAGAGTTTTTGCGAACACAGACCACGAAAGACTGGAGGCCTCAATGTATGCCAATGTTAAGTATATCAACGATCCGATTGCACTCAGTATCTCAAACAATCTTATAATCTGAATAATTGAAAACACAATTAATTATCTAACATTTAAAACATGCATTTAATTGTCAACAATATTATGATTATGTACTCTATTTAATGGTGTATCAAATCGTAGCAAATAACATGCATCCGATGTTTTATTAGTTTCTTTGAGTAAATCTTTTTTGGATATATTTTCATAATTGTTATGAATTAAGGAATGTTTTCTCGTGAACTGCAGACTCTTATTGTGGTTTTGAACATATTTTTTGCAGCGATTAATTGTAAGACATATGTTTTGAGTGTGCGATTGGTCTGTAAATTCATTGCACATAATTATATTTATACTGAATTTTAAAACAATTTTTAATAGTATTACTATTGTTTTCCAAATCAATACAATTTGGTTCATTGGAAGTGATGCTCACAATAGATGCTGGCCTTAGGATAAAAGCGAAAAATGTAATGAAAAAATAAATGCCATAAAAAGCGATTTGTCGATAAAATCTATTGAAAAATAATTAATTTTATTTAATAGTTAGTTAGTATAAAACTTTTATATAATATTTACCTTTTCTTAATGAATGTATTCCACTTCGCCTGTAATATCTCAATCAGTAGGCCTTCAAACATATCCAAGTGTCCCAATTCATCCTTCATATAGAGATCAATGAATGTCAATTTATTTTCATAAATTGTGCTCAAAGTGTGTGTATTTATTAAATATAGAAAACAACGGACATCTCCACAAACATTAGTACAGTATAAAAACATTGTATAAAAAAGTTTTACAATTGCATAAAACAAGAATTTAGAGCATTTTTGTATATTCTTGTTTATACAGTGTAAAGTAGACTAATTCTCATATTTTACAAATTCAGACATTTCGTATTTCCTTAATATTGTATTTTTTATGCATTGTTGGTTTATTCAATACAATTGTCATTCCAATAGGATTTATAGTATAATTTTCCAAATGTATTCATCACATGAGGGAATTATATGCTGTAATAATGCTTTTTTTTAGTGCTTTCGATGCCTTTTACCAAAAGTTTAGAAGAGAATAATCCAATATTTACAGTAAGACAACACAACCGTATTTTAGTTATTCATGATTTACACATATAATTGTGTGAATGATCAGACATACCACAGATGTGGTTGATTTATAGTCAATTTCACATATTTTTTAAGAGCAAAAGAGGTACACGAGGCATCATTAGAATTGGTTCCAGCGTTTAAGAGCTCTAATTTATAAATACAGTCTTTGATCTAAAAATGCCCGCATTATTACAGACAGTAAACACTACTCCTTAACAACAAATTTATTTTAAAAATAATTTTAGAAGACAGCAGACATAAACTTGCGTTATAGCAATTACTGGTACATGGTTAAATTTTAACAGAATCATATATAAAGTACACTTTACATTGTACATTAAGTGTTAAAATTGTAATATTGAGAACAAACGAACACTTACTCCAAATGCCACAACACTTAACGCATTGGTTGTGCGGATTTGTCCGGTGTTCACATCAATCGAGTCAATCTCCTCAAGAGGATAGGCATCGAAGGCCTGTTCACAGAATTGCCAAAAAACTTCTCTCTGAAGTTTTAATATATGAAAAAACATCTATTTTGGCAAAAAAGTAAAGATATAAATATAATTCAAAATCAATGATAACATAAGTCATACTTCGATTCTGGTAAGTTTGGCCGACAGACACAATGGTGTGAGACTTTGCTTATTCTTTACACTATTTATATTTCAGAATTGCATATTATTATTTTTGCATTTTAAAATAAGTTATAAATTATGTGTATTCAATCATTTACAACAAAATTATGATTTTATTGAAGGATTTTATTCAAATGTATTTGATTTACATAAAAAGATATGGCGCTTAATATGCCTCGAATTCAACATAACCATCACTAACGGGAATATGCAAACATGAAAGAATATTCTACATAGTTGTTTTGGAAATTACGATTTTACTTTTTATACAAGTGTGTCGATTCATTACAAGAAGTGGTGTTTCAGAAACTTTATTCTTATGGGATATGAAATGCGTTTATAGCGCAAAAACATCATGATTCTATAAACGTCTATTTTAATGCTGAATTGAGGTTTAAAGTATAACGCAAATATAAACCAAGAAATTTACATTTTTATACAATAACCTATCAATACAGTATATGTATGTCTAATACCTTTAATAAATATGGTTATTTTCAATCTATGGTATATTAAAAGCCGTACTATTATTTCGTATATAAAATTAATTAAACACTTAAACAAAACCGTTGTGAATGGTTCACAAGCCTATTAAGCCTATGGATTAATTTAGTATTATTGCACGCGCTTATACAACAAACCTCAAAACAATGCATCCCTTTATTACAGAAAAAAGTCAAAAATATGTTTTGTCATTTTGTTTTTAAATGATAGCAAAATGAGTGAACAAGTTTGACAATCTTAATTATTTGATTAGAAAGTAGAGTACTTACTGCAAATTAGCACCAAGTTCATATGCTAAATTGAACATTTCCTTTAATTGAATAAACAACGGATGTTTTGGTGACAATTATTTGATAAAATAACGATTGTTACCATTTTATTAGAGATGACAGTCATGTGTAGAACTGTATTGCCGTTTGTGTCTTCATTGTCAGGATTAGCGCCCTTTGCATAGAGTAGTCGATAACAGTCTTCGAGTTCAAGACATGCAGCAAATGAAAGCGGATATTCTCCCCAATAGACATGCCTATAGATCATACAATTTTCAATCTCAAACTATTTTACTCAATTTATTCTATCATATTCTGCATCAAATTTAAGACAAATTAAATTGAGTAATTTAACATTGATACAATCTGTTGATATATTGCATTTGTCAATTGACAAAATTACGTATTCTCATATTTAAGCAATGGTTAATTGGTAATGAAATGAGTTGAAACATAATTTAAACGCAAACCCCATATAATTGGTCTCAACTTTCATGACATAGGATTCGTGTTCTAAGACTTCTTCGCGCGTCTCCTTCTGATCGTCAGCGCAGAAGAATTTGCCGATACATCGGGCCCTCACATCCGCCCCATTGTTCAATAGGAACTTAACCATTGATAGGTCTTCATTCACAACTGCCATATGTAGCGCTCCCTCTCCATAGTATTCGTCGTCCAAATAAATATCTAAATTATAATATAATACTAAAATAAGTACAACAATTACTATTATAATAACCGTAATACAGTATAACAATAAGTTATATTTGTGTTATTTTATAATACCGTTCACTAGCTTTGGGAATATTCTGACCAAACGTCGGGCCAATTCTGTGTGAATGGGTGTAGCCACTAACTTTGATACAAATATTTGTCAGCAAAATGTTTGACTAAATGTTTATTAAACAATAATATAAAGTTTTATAAATAAACCTTTGCATACGCGATAAGTAAGCTAGTTAAATTGAAAACTGAGATTTGCACACAAATTATTTTAAATTGTGACTAAAATACAGAACATTTTAGATTCACATAAATAGATTGCAGAAGTAAACATTTTTATATAATTACCAAACAAATATGCAATACTGATTCGCCAACTGATCCCCTGTATTGTAAGTAAATTAAATACATGTAAAACACATTATTCAATACAACCTTTCATTGATTTTCCAACAAATATCTCTGTATTCACAATCTACAACTGGTAATATATCTAATTAATGAATTAATCAAATTTAATTATAAACAAAATGTAATTATTAATAGAATTGTTTATATAAAAGCGGATATACTTGTGTTACGCAAACTGTTGGGAAGACAATAGTGTAAAAGATTGTATAATCTCGTCCTCACAACTGTCTTGCTGTCAATTTCTTGAATCTCTTCATCTATTTCTTCATCGTTTAAATTAATGTTCAATTTGTTGCTAAACTTTCCGTCTTTATTGCGTAACTTTATTAAGTGAGAAATCGGCACTTTTTTGCCTTCGCCCTCATTGTATAGAAACGGCTTCACTAATCGTATGATTTCATTGTCGACCTGTTATACAAATTATATTCTATTCGAGTCTATCTTTAACTTATTGACAAATTCAATTGTTTGACTTAATTTTAAATATTATATTTTAATGCTTTATATTATTACATAGTAATATTGGATTGTTAGCAAGAATAATATAACACATTAATTATATAACACTTTATTATTGCAATTGAATCCTAAGTTATATTACTCATTGGAAGGAAAAGGTTGGGTTATGCCATCATAAGAGTGATCTTATACTGTAGATCACAATTAATGTGGTTTACAATTGTCTCAACTATGGGTTTAATTGTATTCAAAAACTGAATTTTGAATAATACAAATATTTTCAATTACTTACTTGACTAAAATCTTTGGTTCTGATGGCATTCCTCATGATATCTACGAGTTTTCCTTTCTTTTTTAAGTCAGCCAAAGAATAGATCTTCTGTTTAGAAACGGCCTGTTTTTTGACGCCCGCCGTAACATCGCTGTGAATATTTCCCATTAGTTTATATTATAATCACTTATAAAACACTCAATGAATTAATAGTCTTCTATAAAATTTAATAAAGTGATGATTATAAAAGGTAATTAAGAAATAAGGCATTTATTTGAATAATCTCTTGAATAACATCAACTCATAAGCACTCGATTGCAAAGAGAAAGCAATTGAAACAAAGTTTGGATAATTTTGTTGAGCAATACTTACTGTGAAATAACAAATTGGTCGCTAAGAGCCATTGGAAAGTTCAATTCAATCGACTCTTTTCCAACGGAAATACAAAGTAATGCTATAATTAATATTATTGTAAAACTAACTTATTTTCTAACCTTTCTTTTAGTTAAATTTCAAACCATTTATTCACAATCCAAACGAAAGGGAATTCACTGAATCCCTCACTTACTGTTAGGTCTTCACTCATTCGCTGCTAAGTTTTGCATTAATTGCATAATAATAAAAGGTTAACACTTATAAAGTTGGAGTAATCTAAAGCCATATTAGATTCACAGCAACGGCCAATGGAGGCACAATATAATACATTCAACAAATTCATCACCTATATCAATTAATCAAAAATAACATTCTAACATTAATTCATTTATTAATAATCATTTATAAAGTTATCATCAAAATTCCAATTCTTTATTCTTGCATTGTTATATTTTATGCTATTAAATAAAATATTATAAATCCATTACCACATTTCATTAAACTTAATATAATAGTTGAGTCAATATAGTATAATCATACATAATCCTACTTATAGTCAATGCAAGTAATTATAACTATTAAATAAAATTGTCGAATATATTTTATAACTTTAAATAAGAAAAATTTACATATTATTTATGAAACAAATTATTGTCGTATAATAACAATAATCGAAATACATGTAAAAGTTTGAATAGTTTTGAGTATTGAATGAGGTTTTGACCGTAAAATATCATATAATACTTACGTTAGAAAGAGTGAAGACTTTGCTCATAACGTGCAAAATAATGGAAAAATTGTTATCGATTTTTGGTTTACATTTCAAATAATTGGATGTTTGGGTACAACAAGTAATAAAATAGGTTTTCATTAACTTTATTTACACTAATCATATATTATAACAATGAGGGGTAATGAAGGGGCTATAAGTCAAGCATTCATTATTTAATCTTAAAGAGTTTATTTTTCGTTTAACAAACAGATGCTTCAATACTTTTAATGAATTTTTATTTTTTCTCTCTAATATACATATATATTGTGTCAATTTTTTTGTAGTATATGTTAATTCCAATAAAACAATGAGTTTTTATATAATGTTTTAATAAACATATATTTATTCAGACATTAGTTAACAATTTTGGTTAACCATTAGATTGTATAATGCTTTTAATAAACATATAAAACAATATACAGACCAATACTGAACAGTATATTGCAATCAATCGCCCACTTCTTAATTGACAAACAATTTATTTATTTAAATTTAAACTTAAAAAACAATAAAAATTTCATATAAAAGGCACTATGAGTTGAATGACACACAAAATTAAATGAATTAATGTTTGATTTATATATAAAATATAAATTCATATTTCGTAAACTCTACTAAAATATTACAAATATCTCCAAAATTAATAAAATTATAATTAAATTTTATTTATTTTCTAAATGTATATAATATAGTCGTTAAAAATAACACAATCTTAATATAAAAACAATTAATTAAACAAACAATGAGTCAATTGACGAGTGGGCTACAAAAAATACCCTAAATGTCATTTGAATAGGCTGATTAGCAAAAAACAAATGCACCATAATGTATTATAGTCATTTCATCTCTAGTTATTAAACAAATATCAAACACACATATGAAGTAAATGTTAGCACAAATTATTCTGTTATTGAAAATATCTGTCAAACGGACGCAAACAGTGACTGTAATATGACATCAATTGATTATTAGGACTATTACTTAACAGCAGTTATAATGTAAAAATGTCCCAAAGAAACGGTCCATTCAAATGTAATATTTTATTTCTTAATTAAAGAAATGGTTGTGTATGTGATTAAAAAACAGATAACATGAAAGAATATTAATATGTAAAGTACAGTATAATATGCATGTATTATAATGTGTTGACAGCAAACACTGGGCTTCAAATTGTTACCATTTTGAAAAATTATATAAATCTTGTCGTTTAACTCTGGGTTCTTATGTGAAATCATGACTTAACATAAGAATAATAAAATTGTTATTTTGAAAGAATATATTTTATAAAATAAAATGTTGACCGAATCAATGGGACAGTCGTATTGTTTTCATGTGATAAATGCCTGAATGTATGGGAATATCAGTTGTTTACAATATTCTATGTCTATAACAATTGATTTAAAGTTGTCGAGACTTTTCTGACGGCACGACAACCAGAATCTTCTGTAGTGTTAATGTCATCCAATCTGTAGACACAAAAAAATTATTTATAATATTAAATAATTTGTGTTTCCAATAATTATTATTATTAAATCTATCGCTAAAATTAAAATAAGTATTTTCTACAAACCGAATGCATTTTGAATGGGTTTTGGTTTCCTTTTCCAGGCGATGAAAATAAAATAGACGGGAACTCCGGTTAATATGATTAGACAGCCGAAGCCGGTGCCGACCGGATCCGCAAACATTGGCACCACTGTTATGAATATGGATCCGAGGATGTAAATGATGGGCC